TTTTCAATTTATGTGTTGAGGGAGCTAGACAGCCTGCCTCCAAGTTCAGCGAGCCTGTTCAGCCTCCAAATTGGCAATGAATCATTACACTCACACGGCCACAGGCAGGAGAGGTCTGCGGAGATTGCATTCACCCACTCTAATCGCTCCCGCAGCGGCACTGACCAACTCACTCCAGAATTAAGAAGGAGGGAAATAAAATTGTCTGATCTCAGAAATCAAAATACTGCATTATATTATAAAAATTCACAGTTAGCTATGGAGACGGAGCATGATTTCTTGGCTTACTGTTCCTTTCTTAGAGCAAAAGGACACACCTACTCAAAAAACTTACTGTGTTATTCCAGTAACTGGCCAGGGGGAGGGAATAAAAAGCTTTACTGTGGGAGGTGGCACTTCACACTCTTTGATACAAGAATTTGGAGGGCACATGCCCTGTACAGTCAGGCTATCAGGGGAACAGAAGATGACAAATATGACATCGGTTTTTAAAATGAGATCCAGAAGGGCTTTCAGGCACTACAGCCCACTAAATCTGACTTCTCTGTGGGGCAAACTGCTAGACGCTGCAATAAATAGCAGAGCTAGTGAACACCTTTAACACACTGTGGAGAGATCCCTGCAGAATTCTATAGGTAAGAACAGTCTGGAAGAGAATAGCATATTTGGATTTCCAAAATGTTTGTAGAAAGGCCTCTCAGAAAATATTACCTAAGAACCTGATCTGTCTTGGAGCAAAAGGAAAACTGCCTTTGTATACTAACAGGTTAGAGGTGGGACTCACCTGCCCAGGAATTGTCAGCGTTCAGATTTCACCAGTGGGACCTTACGGGGACCCTAATCTATTCATAAATGGACTGCAGAGGAGACAAAGTGTGTTTATGATACAAAATTATTCAGGATAATTAGAACAAAAACTGTTTGTGAAGGGAAGCAGAACAATCTCGCAATACTGAGTGGCTGAGTGATAAAATGGCAAATGAAATTCAATGTTGATAAATGCAAAGCGATGTACTTGGGAAAAACAACCCTTACTACACATACACACTGACAGGTTCCCAATTTGCTATTGCCATTCAGTGATGAGACCTTGGGGTCACAGCTGATAGTTTTCTGGAGGTGTCAGCTGAATGCTCAGTAGTTGTTAAAAAACAAATAGTATACTAGGAAGAAGGAAAGTAATAGAAAACCAAAAGAAATCATCACTGTGCTCCTGCAGAACTCTGCAGTAAACCCACTCGTTAAATACTGTGCAGTTTTGGCCTTCCCCTCTCGAAAAGGGTATGGTAAAGCAAGAAAAAAAATGCACAGAGAGAGTAAGTCATCAGGATTCTAGAATGGCTTCCTCAAACAAACAAACTCAATAGTTTAGACTTCTTCAGATTTGAAAACAGATGATTAAGGGGGGAATATAAGTGAGGCAGACAGAATCATATGAGGCGTTTAAGTGAACAGGCATGTACTTTGTAATGCAAAAACTAGGAGGCACCAAGAGAAGTTATTAGGCATGAGTAAAAAGCAAAAGGAAGTCTGTGGAACAAATTGTAGAATTCATTGCTATGGGATGCTTTGGACACCAGAAGTCTAAAAGGCTTCAAGAGGCAATTAGAAATTTGTTGAAGAAAGATCTATCAAAGACTATTAAGCATAACGGTGCCAAGAAAATCTCTGGCTAGACAAGGAGTAGATATAATCTCTGGCTTGGGAAGCCTCTCAATCTCTGCTCAGTCTTGCCACCAAACCCTGCCCCCGTGCTGCCCTGTGAAAATGTTGTACCTCACCCTGTATGCCAGAGCCAAGAGGGTGCTGGAGCTGCCTGAGAGCAAGCCAAAGAACCTCCTTGAACTTTTTTCAGTATTAGGTTGAACAGATTCCAAGGTGGAATACAAAGAGTTGTATCAGAGACCAGCACTGGTGATGCAGGATTGTGGATTTTATTTTAAAAAGCTATTTGTTGTTCAGTATTAAACTGGGCCTTGTATTTCTAATTTATATCAAAAATTGAAAATTCATAGGACTCAAAGGAAATCTTAACAATTCTGTATATACAAGAAAGCCCAGCTATCACCAGACAATAAAGCTGGCTACTTGCACTATGATTACTCAAAGGGAATAAGGATTCACTTTGGATGTACTTTCCAAGGAAAGACTTGTGAGTGCAAAGTCTTTTTTTCCTCTGCACATGGAACGCTTCCTAAGCACATTCAGAAAATATTTAGCTGTAATTACAGCTCATTTTAAGAGGAGGAGGAAGTATTCACACAATTTACTTTCAAAGAAATCTTCTTTAGGTACAAACCAACTCAATACAACCCCACAACGTGCTGCCAAAACCACAAGAGACTTACACCGAAAACTAGCAACAAACAAATGGAAAATGTTTACCTTCTACCTCCGGCAGAGTATGTGCGTGCCTAGCTTAGTCTTTCCTTTCACAAGTTTCACCATAAAACCTCCTGCCACAGAAATTTCTGAAAAGATTTTTGATCCTTTATTCCTTTCAAAAAATCCCATGTGTTGGCTATCTTTGGGAAGATAATTTATTCTATAGTATTGATCATATTTTTTTCCAGCATCTCCTTGTCATTCTCTTCTCTCTGCCTTTTAGAGGTAAAAAGCAGATGTTTTTGTAAAAAACCCATATGACTGCAGAATCTAATACCTCTTTTCAGGAGTTCCCCACACAAGCAGGCATGATATGGCTGAGGTGCTTTCCACTCAAGGCTAGCAACCCTTTGACGCTGAGTTCTCGGTTTCAGCTGGAATCCTACTGTTTCTCCATGAAATGTTAGCTACGACTTCACGGTAGCTGGCAGATATGATTCCAGCACATACACCACGGTTGGTCTGGCCAGGTGTGAGAAGTCACACCATCAGCCACTTCCAACAGTTGCTGTACAAATGTAACTTCAAGTGCCTCTATCCCTCAGCCACTTCCAAAACTGGGATTCTGATCTCTGAGTCACGCACTTGAGAAATGTTTTACCTATGGGCTCTGTGAAAAAAAACTTGGTTTCGCTCTTCTGTCCCATCACTGTGAACCATGAAGAAGAAAGTCAGGCCCACGAGGCATCAGCTGGCCAGAACGTAAGCAATGAAAGGGAGTCAGACAGTTTACCCCAGACAGTAATAGTCTTCTTCCTACTCCTTGTTCTTACTCTAGGAGGAGATTTCATTCACTCTTTAGGAAGCCGAGACCTCAGCTATGGAGAAATACATCTGGAGTAGCTATACGGACCTCAGAGATGCTACACATTTTAAGCCGGCGTGCGGTGCAGTTGGCGGAGTTTAACTTCCCTTCAGAGGGGACTCCGTGCTCCCCACAACAGGACTAATTGGCCAAAGCCACCTCTCTGACTGGCTGCCATGGTGTGGCACTCGCAGCAGCGAGCTCCAGGAGGAAGGGAAAAAATAGGGCTATTAGAACAGTGTTTTTCTTTGCTAAAACATGGGCGGAAGGTGTCCAACATTTGTTAATAGCAGTGATTTTGCGACAGCTGAAGCAAAGCCTGCTTAAAGCCAGACCAAGTTTACAGATGTGTTGCTGATTATTTTGAATAATTAAATGGTGTAAAACCCAGCTGTGATGAATAGCACTGGGGTCGCAATTCATAAATAATTGAGAAGAGTGAGTCGCATTTGATCATCCTGATCAAATTCTACTCTCTGGAGAATAAATGTTTGTCCTGAATACCATCAACATTGTTAAATGCCTCAATATTCCTGCTCAGCCATCCAGCCAGCAGTCAATTGAACTAAATCACTTTAACACCTTACACATTTGCCTTCCTCATGAATACAAAACGTTTCTAACTTACACAACGGTTTTCGGGCATCAGACAAAGCAGCCACTCTTTATAGACAGTAACCAAGCAGGAACAATAAATGTTTTAAATGATCCCATTAAAAACAATTCCTGCATACAGTCTTGTCTTTACTGCAGTAAGTGAAGCAGCCGTAGATATTAGGCCCCTACTTTGTTTCACTGCCTTGTTTGTGAGCAGAGCTGCCTCTCCGATTCACATGCAGCGCACAAACATGCGTCGTTTTCCTGGTGGGGACACCAGTAGAAGAGCTCCATGCAACTTCCTGGGGCTCCTTCTGCTTCTCAGTACTTCCAAAAGCTCAGCTGTGACTGTGATTAGACTGAATGAAAGACATACCTAAAAACTAGCCAGAGAATACTACCTTGTGTTGATTAGAGCCTGACTCTGCAGCCCATCCTCATACTGTGTGATATTTACCATGCTCGCACAATATGGGTTTGGTAACCCAGAGGTGGAAAACTGCTTTCACTTCATTGGAATTACCTCCAATTTATAGCAGATCTATTGGTCAGAATCTGTCCTGAACAGGTAACAAGATACAAACTTTAAAATAGTCACATTAGGTAAATACTACCAACTAAATCCTGAAGCCTTTTGCCTTGGTTTTACTGGAACAAAATAACTGATGACCTCAACAGCAATCTTCCCTGGCTGAACAGAGGATCAACAAGGACTCCAGCAACTGACCCATAGTTTGGGTTTTCATAAAAGACCACATTCTATTACTCTGACTCATAGTAAGCACTATTTTACTTCTTTCGGGCTACTCAAGGGGCATGTGAATATTCAGTGTGACTAAGAGGAGCAAATTCTGGGCCAACAAGAGTGAAACAGGCTGCAGATTATAAGAAAGGCCTGGAGTTAAAAACAAACGCTTGTATCTTCATGCTGTTCCTGGGGGGCTGCAGACAGCTTTTCCTATTTAATAACAACTTACGAGGGTCCTCCCTTAAAGGCACCAGATCTGTGGTGATTAGAAAGCATCTGCAAATTTTCAGTCCCACATTACTCATACCTGGTGCCAAATTGGTATTTCCTGATTTCTTCTGATACATTTGAGCATTGAATTTACCTGACATGACAGCATCACACAGATGTCGCACGATCCCTAAGTATTAGTACACAATTAACTTTAGGAAAACAATGTTCTACTGGTGGATCATTAAATCATACCTCAAAATCTTCCGAGAACCCATGCTGGTTATTGGAATACAGCTCACTGATGTGTTTAACGAACTGCTTGACTGGAATTGCTTCCATATCATCTGTAGAAAGAAAGAGACATTCAGAGTTGCTATTTGTCTCATACATAAAACTTCAGGAGAGAAAGTCTTCACTCAATATCACTTAGATCTGAGTTCCCAGGGGCACAGCTAGTTCAATATTCGATAATAAGAAATCTTGATGAATGTGGCCAATTTTGAGATAAACTCTTCATATTATATTTCTAATTCTAAGTGCTGCAGTTATGAATACTGAGAGTCTATTCTCACGATGATAATTTAGAAAGTCCAATTGAAGTTCAAGGATCGTTTAGTTCGTGTTCGCAGTTTGAAGATGGCTGTGGATGGGATGAGGAGGCCTCCTCTCCTTCCACATTGTATAAAAAGAACAGAAGAGACCGAAAATATGAAAGTACAGTTGACAGTTGCCCCGAGCAAGTTTTCACCAGACTGAGCAGACACACAGGCTTTTCTCCTGAAATTTATTAACTTTTTCCTTTTTACACAATGATGTAGAATCCAAATGGACTTGTCATGAAACTGTCTCTGAGGAAAAGACCAAGCAACACAACACCCACACTAATTTGAGTTCTCTCTCATGCCAGACACTATTCATAACATTGAATATGTATTCCACTGGACCATTTGTTCTTGCTCAGCACAGTGCAAATTCCACCCAATATACCAATAAATAACCCATAGACATTTCCTTAAAAGAAAGGAGTCAAAGGCTTGAATTGAATTAAAGACAAACAAGACTGTTTTGAGCACCTGGGACTCCGGACAGATTCTAATATAGCTGGGGTGTAGGATGGCTGCCTTATTTCTCTCTCTTTCTCTCTCCCAAAAAAGGCCTAGATGTTGTTAAAACCACCACTGTGGTTAGTGAAAACACCGTGCTTGCCAAGATTCATTAGTTAATATTTTCAGTCTGGCATTTAGAAAATGTAAATTGCTATACAACTGTGATTACTTTCAGCATGTGAAATAATCTATTGCCTGATGGCTACTATTGTCTGATTGCATGATTTTATGGCAATACTCTGGTATTTATATATCCCATTTAATATTCTTCTGAAGATCGCATCCAGTTTATGTTTACTCCCAGTAATTCAGTGGTGTATTTTTGCTCCCATTTAGCAGCCATATGGTTTGGTGCTACAGCTGCATTATAATCTGGATTCCTTTCCTTTTAAACATCTACATTATGATAGAAAAAATCCAAATATTTCTACAGATACTTAGCAAAATTTAACGATAAATAAATAGATGTGACATTTACTGTATTCAGAGTGAAAGATCTTTGGCAGCTAAAACCTCTAAGCTGTCACATATGCTTTTCTTAGCAAAGGGTATGAAGATCTGTATGTGTAAATGAGGTTCTACTTTGGCAAGAATTTTATAGATCCCTGACAATCTGATTTCTTTTTGGCTGATGGCAGTTAATATTGACCATGTCATTACTTCTCTACTCTTATTTTATCAGGTAACACTCTAAAGTGGCTTTTCTCATCTACTGACATTTTCAGATCTCAATCAGCTCTCTTATATTTTATTCACAAGAGCTAATTGTTAAAGATATGTTTGCAATCTCATCACTTCTCAGTACAGTAATGCTACTTTAATTAACCACATGCTCATTTACTAAATAATACAGAATTCAAAACATTTGACAAATGTATGCTCATCTTAGCAAAAAGCTGCACCGTGCAGAAATGCTGGCACTTTACAATATTTAAGTGATAACATTTATTCTATGTAATATTGAGAACATCATCATCTCATAACAACATTTGTATTAATATTTTTGTAGCCAAGACACTTGAATGGAATGTCTATAGGAACAGCAGTCAATAGCAAGAGCCTGTAAAACAGTCTTTCCTCTCCTGAAAAATACCCCATACATCCTAGATTTCCTTGAAAATAACTTGCGCTATGATAGCAATTTCACATACTCTCACAAGAAAAGTTCCATAGTTATCATTTGGTTTTTTTTCTTGAGTAGTCTAGCTCAGCTGAGACCAACGGAGATCAAGGATTCACCGCAGCAGACCAGTGTGTCCAATTTAATTTTGCAGAAGGCAGAATTTAATTTTAATTGTGATCTGTGAGCCAAAAAATACATTAGAGATAACGCGCTCTCTGGCCCATTGAATTCCCACCAATTTCAAGGATGGGTCTGCACCAGAGATCCACGGCAAAATATGGTTAGTTTTCTTTCTATGATCATCACTGCATGGTGGCAGTGTGTCTCCACCTTTATTGCCACTGCTAATTCACTTCTCTGTTGTTCACCATCCTTTACTGTTTCTCCTTCCTTTTTCCTCTTCTTCATTTTCACTTCTGATTCCCTCCAGAAGCTTTAACCCAATGCAGTTGTTTACCCTATTTGATAACATGGGCAATAACTAAATATCAAATAAATTAAATAGGAAATACTGTTGACATATGAGCTCACTGGGTGAGAGGGAGCTTGTGCTGCTGAAGCTGCCCATAAACACAGGAAAACCATGTTAGAGCAAATGTGATTGTTTCATACTAGGAAGATTAAAACCAACCACAGATGAGACACTCAAAAAACCGCTTATGATTTCCAGCTTTCAAACCGCTGGGATACCGTGGTCCTACTGACCGTGCAAGGCCTGGCAGCTGCTATGGAGAAGCCCAGAGGCAGCCAGCCTCGAGGGACATGCGCAGCCCCGAGGGGACAGGCAGCCCGCCCACCTCACCTTCCTGACAGCCACAAGAAAGCACCCGCTCGTAATATATAGTCTGTTACACTAACCAGTGGAACGGAAAAGCGTTAAAGTCATTTGGGGCTGTATTTTTCTACTCGTGACCTCCAACTCCAAACTCCCACCCAGGAACACAAATTACTTTAGCTGGAGTACGTGCATGCTTAGCCATTGGCAGCTTGTCAGACCTCCTCCAGTAAAATAGGCACTAATATACTCAGCACTCTTGAATGATGTCTGCTCTGACGTTATCTGAGGATGGCTGTGACCTTCTCTAACAAAACCAATGGCTGTAGCTAGATGCACAGAATATGCTTTTCCTCTCACTGTCATCAGTCCAAGGCTTTGGTTAAGCCTTCTTTCCACCTTAAGACAAGCAGACTTCAATGACCGTAATTCTTTTAGTCGATTGAAGAGATTAATGGAATCCTATAATGGCTAATTAGGAGCTCTCATAGTGCTTCTGTGCATATTCCCTTTTGCACCATATACTTTTTCCCATCCAAAAGCTAGAGCGACATTTGATATTGTCAGTACGATGCTTACATTCTGCAAGACCTACACATTATTCAAAGAGAAGAGGGAAATGTTTTAATAACATACCTTCACCTCTAACACTGCAGATATAATTACAGTTCTGTCTAGCTTGGGCTTAGCCAGCTGTTTTATCAGTGTCGATAAAGCGATTCTGGATTTACGTCACTACAAAATATGAGCCTAATCTGGCACCTCGCTACCATACTAACCCTTTGTGTGATGCAGAGAAAGAAGGAATCTTAGATGGACAGGGGCAAAAGTCTCCAGAACTTTAAAATAATTGTGTATATATATATTATTATTATTAATATAATTTATAATAAGATCCTTTATAATCAGACACTACTGAAGCTGACAGACGGAGGGGGTATGTTTAATCACTCTGCTAGATATCTAACACTTTGCTGGAGTTCCTATCTTTAATTGCTGGTCCAACACATGGACCTGAGAGGAGTATCAAACCCACAAAACCGAAGGGGAACACAACGGAGCTAATTTCCTGCCACAAAGGGAGAATGCCAAAAAGAAAGTCATATTTGTTTAAGAAAATGATTGTGGAGGAAAACTTTCACTTGCACCTCATTTTATAAGAAATGGCAATTGACATCGCAGAATACATAATACATCCCTTCAGAAGACAGCCCCCTTCAAAAAAACCCCGAAGTGTATAGAAGCAATAAAGTTCCAATAGGGTTACCTTTAAAGTTTGGATAATTAGTAATCCTACCAGGAAAGATTTTCCCCTATCTCCCACTCAATAAGCTGCCTTTGTAACATTAAAGCACTAGGGGCCAATTTCAAAAGAAAAATGGGATATCGTATCAGAGGTGGCATTTCCACACAATAAGATCTCAGATTCATTTTGATTCATGTATAGCCTGAGAGCTCATTGGGTAGTTTAGTGGCATTGGACTGGAATAGATGGTTTTGGGTCAGGAATTAATCCAGAAGGTCAAAACCGAAGTGATTTTTCTCATTACCTTTCTCTAGTTTGGAGTTTCGGTGTTTCTGAAGACCAGACATCTGACACACACGAAGGAGTCTTGGTAAGAAAATTCTCCCACGTCTTTCATTCTGCTTGCAAATGTTTTCTGTTTTTCTGCTATTATCTTACCCAGTCTACTAAATCCAATGTACTCCATATATCTTACGCCTTACTTTTAATGGGAAAGCTTATTCCATTTGTTCGCTAGTCACTGCACTCCAGTCTCTCATTTGCGAAGCCACCTGGATTCATGTGCCTTAGCTGTCACGTGGCTTGGCCCATCTGCTCCAACAGCAGCCGCTTGCCGCACTGCTCCACGGCCCGGTGCCATCCCTTGCAGCTCCGACGCACCACCATCAGTTCTCAGTGTGCTCTTCACAGCTGGCTTCAGCCAAAGGACGAGGGGACTCTCCCACTCCCTGCCCGCGGGGCTGAGCACTGAACTGAATCAGCCTGCTGATCTGGCTGACGACTATAAGAAAGGATTAATTGATTTGCGGGGAACGGGAAGAAGGATTAGTTGTCGGTGGGGTAGACGGGTTGATTGTACCCATTAGCATGAAGAATAGTGAAGTGACAGGGAAACTGCCGTTTCTGAAGGCAGCACAAACCTAACTTGGCTTGTGACAATCGTGAAACCAGTCACATTGTTAGTGACGTTAATCCTGGAGAATCCACTCTCAACAGTGTACCCTCACAGTTCTCATCTTCTGCAAAAAGTTTTCCCGACTGGAAAGAAATATCTACCAGCAGGCTCATAGTAGGACTAGATTTGACCTCTTAAC